ATATTATTTAAATGATAATTTTTAAAATTATTAAATATTTAAAAATAGACTAATATTTATTTTTATTAAATTTAATTTTAAAATCTCAATATATATATAATCAATTTTATTTATAGTAAAAATCAAATTATTATATCTTATTAAAAAATTTAAAATTTAAAAAATTTAAATTATCTTATTCAAACAAAATATTTAAAAAACGATGAAAATTGAAATCAAAGTAATTCTAATTTTAAAAATTTCAAATTTTTAAAATTTTTTAAATTTCTAATCCAAACACAATATAAAGTTATTAATCAAAGAAAACACTTCACTAATTTAAAGGATCACTAAGAAATATCAAGATCAATGCTAACTTTTAAAATTTACATGGTGACATGATTTACGAATGGCTTTTGATTTTTGAAGCATGTGAAATTCCTTACCATTATCAGCATCATAATATAAATCATAAAATTCTTCATTACTAAACTAGCAGAGGTAATGCAATGGGGACAAAGGGTCACAGAAAATAATTGCTGTATATGATAATTACACGTATATCAGGGTCATGTGAGGAAATTGAGAGAATGTGAATTCATGTTTTTATTATACGCATAATGTGTATTGCTGTAATGAATCTTAAGTTGTATAATGTTACAGGTAAGGAGTGTGGAAGTAAAGGAAGCTCTGCGCCTTCAGAAAGAAAATAACTTTGTGTTGCTTGATGTAAGGCCAGAAGCACAGTTCAAAGAGGTCAGTGTGAACAAAACATAGATGCAGATTTAGATGTTTTTGAAATTTTCTCTTACAACAAATGTTTCTATTCAATGTGATACAAATTATTGAGGTGAAACTTTGATTCTCATAAGAAAATAACACCAAAAACATTTATAGAACTATATATAAGTTGTTTTTTAAGTATTTTGGAATACAATCAAAGTCTAACATCCTTATAACATAAAAATGAACATGAGTTTATATACATATATAAGTATCCATTGATAAGAGTTATTTTGGATGATGTTCAAAAATAAAATTGTGAGGACTTAGGTCTAACACGAACAATATTTTATCAATGTGGAAACATGTGTGTGAAACCCCCCATACACATCAAAGTAATTGTTACATTTGGAAAACAAATATCCATGTTCAAACCCTGTTACGGTTGATGTAATTCCTATGAATAAAAGAAATTATGGTGTAGGCACATCCTCCAGGTGCAATCAATGTGCAAGTATATAGACTAATAAAAGAGTGGACAGCATGGGACATTGCTAGGCGTGCTGCATTTGCATTTTTTGGCATTTTTGCTGGTACAGAAGAGAACCCTGAGTTCATCAAGAGTAAGATAAACTTAACTATCACACATATCCTTAGTTCATGCAACTGTTTGTTTCCTCTAAGAAAACATTTGATTGGTGCTAGCAGATGTTGAAGCAAAACTAGATAAAAGTGCAAAGATAATAGTCGCTTGCTCTTCAGGGGGTACATTGAGACCATCACAAAATTTGCCTCAGGGACAACAATCAAGGTATTAAATTTGCTCTCTCTTTCTCACGATCATATAGTAGTATTTTTATGATTCAAATTCAATTAATGCTTATTGCAGACCATACTGAAAAGTTGTTAATCATTTAAGTATAAATAATATCTATCAATTGGAGATGCAAAGTGTAAAAGTTGTACAACTGTTTTATATTGTCTGTTTATGTACCTGCATGAGAGTACACTCGTAGTCTTCTGGGGTGTAGGAGGGCCGAACGAGAGCTTCAAGTGGATTCTTCAGAGGGGCGAGGTACCTGCAAAAGGCACTCCGACGCTCAAGTCAGGATAAGCACGATTTTATAGGGTAATAATGAACAGTGACATACCTCGTTGCGTGTGACCTATTTATAATATCTGACGTGGGCCTGAGCATGGTGGGCCTTCTGTGGCGCTTACCAAATTAGGTAATACGGTACTAATCGGCGGGTTATGCCTTAATTATGGCTTGTCCTTTATTAATCATAATCATCATTCTAATTATTCAATTTTGACTTTTGACCGAGCCGAGACAGAACGGCCGAAACGCCCTCTCCCTGCTTCTGGCCGAGCCGATAGGAGAGGAGCACAGTCCACGTGCCGGTCCACGTGGCCGAGCCGAAATGATATTTGAACTGCGTCAATATTTGATAGGATATGACGTGCCGATCCACGTGGCCGAGCCACGTGGCCGACAGGGTCCTTCCGGTACACAAGCCCCCCAGCCTTGAGGAATGCAAGGACGTAAAGGGTAAAAGCGACTTTGCAGTTGCGACGGTTGAGGTGGAGTGGGGAATTGTAACCGTCGGGCATTAATCGTGGGGCATTAATCGTGGGAACGTGGAGGGTTATAACCGTTGGGCATTAATCGTGGGGTATTAATGTGGATATGCGGAGGGTTATAACCGTTGGGTTGGTAACGGTAAGGTAATGATGAGGGGGATTTGAAAAGTTGAAGCCCGTGGATCGTTGGATCATATTGATCTGACGGTCCCTAGGGGGTAGCGGTTACCTTTCGTATTTTGTAAACACTATAAATAGGGGTGGTGGGGACCAAACCCTAATGTGTTTACTTGGTGATAGCGTGCAATTACTCCGAGCCGACGTGAAGATCAACCTTGGTTGCAAGTTCTTGACCGAAGCCGACATCCGATTTAAGGTACGTTTTGATGGCTGATTTAAATATAGATGTAGAGGATAGGGTTTCTGAGGCGGGTTCCACTGGAAGTAGTAGAGCTATTTCTGTTGAGGTGGGTTCACGTGAGCCCTCTCAGCGAGAAGCTTCGGATTCGGAAACGCAGAGGTCGGCTAGTATAGAGATTATCGAGGGGTTTGAGCAGTCGCCGAGTGCGGAGGAAGCTTCTTCTCTCAAGATGGTTGAGGGCCGACCGAATACCCGCCGAGCCGGTCCGCCTTCGCGTCAATTCGGCCCTATAGAAGTTTCTGGTTATAGATGGGTACATGGGGAAGTGGGTAGTGTATTCTCTCGGTATACAGATAAGAATTCGATTGGTTTGTTGTTCGATGCGGAGAACTTTGTGACTCTTCCCGAGGATGAGGTTCCATCCGGTTTCTTCTTCAACCCATGCCGGAACGATGGATCGTGGGACTCGGATTTTGTGTTTCTCGGCCGAGGACGCTGTAAATACAATTTCTTTTTTGTGTATGACTATTTGTTTCGTGATTTGGGAGTGACCCTTCCCTTTGATGAGTTCTTTATGGGTGTGCTTTGTCTGCTCAATGTTGCGCCGACCCAATTACATCCGAACAGTTGGGTTGCGATGCAGGGGTTTCGGCAATTATGTCTGACACTTGGTATCGAGCCGACTCCCCATTTGTTTTTGTATTTTTACTCGTCTCGGCCTACAAAGAAAGCAAAATGGTTGTCATTGGTTCGGGCGGAGCATTGTTTACTTCAGCCGTACACGACCTCCTACAAGGGATTCAAAGTTGGGTTCTTTAAGGTGATGATTCGGCCAGAAAACGGCAACAAGTACTTTTTCGATGATGAGGGAAATGCCTTGTTTCCCTTATATTGGACTCGGCCTCCGAGGAAATATGACGTGGTGTCGAAGTCCAAAATGTCTGCTGAGGAGAAGGCTGATCTGGAAGTGTTGGAGAAGCTGCCATGACCTTTGCCGTGCCGGGATCTCGTTCGTCTTGTGAAATCGGCCCATCCTGTTGATGATTTAATTGGTATAGTGTCTGTCCTTTACTTAAATTCCTGCGTTGCCATTGATTTTGACTAGTGTTTGTGCAGGTATTATGACGAACTACAAGGACGATTTGGATATTCGTGCTCTGATCCAAGGCTGAGTTGCCAAGCAATCAGCTCCACATGGGGAGAGCCGAACTCTGGCCCGCGAGACGTCTCGGCCTCAATAGCAGCCGAAAGAAAAGAGCAACCAGGATGCTTAGAGGGCTAAGGTAAACAAGAGGAGGGCTGAGGCCGAAGCCGAGGCGCGTCGGCAAAAGCAGCAGAGACTACCTGCGCTTGTAGCCCCCCAAGGGCTCGTGGGTCCCGGCTTTCTAGCTCCTAACGTTAGTGCCCAAGACTACTTGAGCCAAGACTTGACCTCGGAGATGGGGCAGTCCATGCTGGGACAGATGATTGCGTCCCATAAGTGGACTTTTTTCTGTGAGTTACAGGCTCGGGCTCTGGCTTTGGCTCAAAGTATTATGAT